GGCACAATAGGACAGAAATGACCGCGGTGCAAGCCCAAACACCACCTCGGCGGTGAGGGAAGGGTTTTAGTGGGTAAACAGCTTAGCTGGAGTCCCACACAACCCAGAGCGACAATCCACCAGCTCTGGGAGTGCATAAAAGAGCATTTCCCAAATCTCACCGGAATAAAAAATAGGTGATATCCATAGTAGTGTCACCTATAGTCTTTGATATCACTAATAATTACAGAGATGCCTTAAGATAGTTAGATATAACATGAGGTGCATAACTTACTGCATATGGTTTCTCGTTTTTTTCTTCCCGTGTAGAATTGCTGATATTTTATTGTTTTTTATGTTTTTCTATATTTGTATTTAACTTTCTTCCTGCAAGTTGATGTATGAACGGCTGTTGGCATAAATGGCTTATTATTATGATTACTATTAAAGTATAATATAAAGCATACATATCAATCTTGCAGGGTGAATATGAATATAGGAGTAGCTTCCAGCCATGTCCTGTGCTGATTTTTGCGTTTTTGTATATTACCCTTACATATTAATTGAATTGCAGAATTATTTTAAAGAGGAATGCGAGTAGAAATCGCTCACGTTTAACCAATGATTCACTTGAAGCGCCACTGTGCCGCAAGCTAAAAATTATGGTTCTAATGTACTGTTCTCACTAAAAACTCGCATATATGATACCGTCACCTTCAAATTACCTCTAAATAGCTGTTTTGATATCGTTCTCGAAAAATAAAATTCGGTAACGAAATGAGCGATGGAGTTATAATGAAAAATCCTTCATAGCAATTTACCGCACCCTGAGATGGTTGTTCCGAATCATTGATCAAACTACTATTTCTTCCCATTTATTGACTATGAACTAACATTAGTAAGAAAATGCATGCCTTCATCTCGTTTAAGTACCGACAAGTCTAAGGTTTCCAGCCACAATAATGAGTGCTGTGCGCCTTTGGCTACGCCCTGTCTCAGAAGTTAAGCCGCTTGAGGTACTGCCGGTAGCTGTGGACGATTAGGATCTTATAGGAGACAATCACTGAAAAATATCAATACATTTTTATTTATTCCACCTGTTCTCTAAGCTGACCTAGTTTTTCGCTTTAATATTGCAAAGAACTTGTTCGAAGACACAGTCCTTATTGGCGCAAATAGATACTGACGTATCGCATTTTATTACTCCCTATCGATTAGGAATAACCGGCATTTAACAAACTGATCTGGTTATTTATTGAGAGCAAAAAAATCGATTGCTTTGCGTTTTAATAAATTTCCATTGTCTTTGAATCGCAAGCTTTGTGCACTCAAAAATACTTACCGGTAACCACAAAACTGATGAAAAGATGCCCTATGATATACGGGGTGTTGTTCTCGCCAGTATGGTGAACCACAGCTACTAACGTGCCCACTATGTAGATGAACAAGCAAACTGGGTTCAGTATGAGGTATGGAGTAAGCAAAACGGGATGGCTCTAAAAAGAGAACGTTATTGATCAGATTCAGTGGCTATAACTGGACAATGTGTCGATTTTAATAATTCATTTCTTTCAGCCCAAATTTTGCCATCAAACTTGCTTGCGATTGAACGTGCATGGAAGTCATCTTTCAGAGTAAAGATTTGTGGTGAAGCATTTTTGGGGTTCAAAAGCTTACTCGATCTTGCTTTGTGACCACAATTGAAGGGTCCTATGCAATAACCGACTAAGTGCAATTTTGCGTAAAATAACTTAACAACACGCTATTTCAGAGTTTGAAATGCTTCATCCAACCGTGCAAGGATCAGGCTTCTAGCTATTACTACTTAAAATGTATACGTGTTATCTGTACTGTGCAAGAAGACGTTAAGTCTTGCATTTGGTAGGTTCTTGCTAAGTACCTGGATGTTCAAGTGGTCGGTTGAATCCCATTTGTTGCACGAGATTGGTTTTTATATATTATTTATATATTTATTATATTTTTTAAGCTGTAAAACTCAGTTAGGAAGAGTTTACATTAAAAAAAACCCAACGAAAATTAGTCAATTTACTTTGACAAAATGTCACTTATTAGTTTATCAAAAGAGCGTTGTGGGAACAATGTTAAAATGTAGTGAGTCGGTTAGGTAGCGGATATTTCAAGAGTTGAATAAGAAAAATGTACAATCGGTGTCGCTGTCCGATCTTGAGGCAAAATTATATAATGAAAGACGGCTACTTAAGAAGAACAAATTGGATCATGTGATGAGTTTAGCAAAAAACGATGTTTCTCAGTGTGACCTCTGGTTTTACAACCAGATTGAGGATGTCTTAAATCATAATTCGTGCCTAGTGTTGATTCATTGTGACCGAATTCAGCATCGATGAATTAAAAAATACCCTGTCCCACTGTATAATGTATCAATTTAACAAAAAATTCGACTCGGTAAAAGAGAGTGTTGTACCTTGGGACATTTTTCGGTTTCTATTTTTTATTGTCAATATTTTCTGTAATACCGTCATCTAATCTGAACGAGCACATCTAGTGCTATTTCAGCCATTTACGGTAAAATTGGCAAAAATGTAATGTTATGTTATTAACTAAGAATTTGAAAAAATATGTTCAATTGCAAATTGTCCCAAGGGACAACTGTGCCTTGTACCTTGGGACAACGCTTATTATGCTTAAAGATGAGAAATTAACAAATTAAAAGATATATAAAATATGCAAAACATTGTTATTAATTCATGTTAAAAGAAATAAAGTCTACAGAAAAAGAGAATTGTTCCATTTGACGATCCGATCCACCAACTACTGTTGGTTTCGGAATTTTTCTCAAAATGTCTGCGTCACTGATTTCATATAATTCTTCAGTCTTCACCAATTTGTTACTATGCATCATTTTTTTTAGATAGAGTACCTCAAAACATCTTCCTTCATAAATCTTTCGTATTTCTGCTATGTAATGACTAGAGGGCGGAAAATATGCAAAGTGCATATCTATGCATTTTTTGCACATTTTATCCAATTTCATAAAAAATTGCATATATCTAAAAAATCTGTATATTTGTGCATGTTTGAAGATTTTTCTTTTCATCTTAATGAAATATTA